GTTTTGGAATCCATGCAAAAACGGGATCGTAAAATTGGAAATAGGAATGTAATAATTTTAGCTTTATTACGTATATAACAGGTTTGGAAATAGAATTTGTACATTAAAACAACATAGATAAAAGTTTATAGCCCAATTCGGGCATTCGTCACACGACTCACGACGGCTCGCACAGGACTACTGTTCATTCTATAATACAGAAAAATAATCATAGTGTGACACACGAAATCTAATCAACTATACACTCAAATCAGTGTCGAGTCAAGACATTTACAGAGTGGCATATTCTATCTAACCTACAATTTTATAAAAAGTGTCCATAATTCGAGAAAAAAGTGTTTTAAAATCAATGTTTATCATTTTTACATTCAGTGCCGTATTTATAAGGCGATACACTAAAACGTTAATCCAGAACAGACGAATGTGTAAGTAGTGCTTGTTCTCGATTGACGCGATTTTTATCGCTCGAAAATAAAAACACTCAGGGCCGTTTGAAGTGCCTTGCGCAACAATGTGAACTTTATCTAGGGAATTTTCACTAGTGGGGCACTGAATACACCTTAAATTTAAAAATCACAAGTACGATACTGGCGTCAGTCATAACCTAAATTCTACCCGCTTCCCCTCAAGTCTGGTTCCCAAGCACTGTTTTCGACTGACGTGTTCTCGATTGACGCTTTAGTGTAATTAAATGCCAAAGAATTTTAGAGACCTTCGAACACTCTTAATTCGGATAAAAATAATTTCTCTTGAATTTTGCATAATTTAAGATTGATTGATTTTATTTGAAAAATATATAATTAATTTGTGACAAGCTCTGAAAAAAGGAACCTTTTTAATCTAAAACTAAAATAAACATAACTTTGAACTTTTTTAGGTCTTTTTTTATCAGAGCACGTAACATTTAATTGCCATTTGTACAATAAATGTCGTGATTCTCCAGAATCTAAATTTAATGGGGACAAATTTTTTTTTTAAGTAACTAAATTCCATTTTTTAAAAATAATTTTTATTTATTTGCATATCAAATAGAAATCACGTTGCAAAATTATTTTAAACACAGTGGAAAGACTTTTGCTAATAAAGTTATTTTCATCCCTTTCATCTATTAAAATAAAACGTGAAACTAACCTCAATTAGTGATCCAGACACGTAACATCAAGAGGTATACTATTTATTTTTTTTTATTATGTATTATTAATTACATAATTTTTGCTTTATTTTTATCATCTTTTTAAAATTATGAGTAAATAAATATAAAAAAAAAATGTCACGTTTATTACTTATTTTACGGAAATTTAAAGCAGGCACGGGAGACATTTTTTTTGCTTCGTACCTGCTTCATAAATTGTCTAATTTGTTACGCATCTTTATGGTTTTTTAGTTTATCGGTTATTGTGACCATAATAGAGAATTTTGAGGAAATTTGTATTTTAAGAATTACACAGGACTAAAACAAAAATGGATGAAAGAACAGATCAGGTGTAATTATTGTCTGGGGTCGCACATCAGTTTTACTAACCTCAAAAAACTTGGCGAATTTTATTATGGCTGTTTTCGGCACTTTCTGCAAATAGCTTCCAGAAGTCATCAGTGGTGCTCAATTTAAATTGTGAAATTTATTTCTATAGATAAATAATATCTAGCGAATGAAAACAAACAGCCAAAAATAAATTTCACAATTTAAATTGAGCACCACTGTTGACTTCTGGAAGCTATTTGCAGAAAGTGCCGAAAACAGCCTATATGAATGATAAAATTTTATGAATATTGACGGATTTATTTTAATTTTTGTATCTAGGGTTTTTAGGGTTACTGATTACGAATTTAAAGTCAGATTTTCAGAATCTAAAATGGCGGATCCAATATGGCGGTCGAATAAAAAAAAAAATTGAACTTTTATAAAACTTGGTATCTAGGGGTTTTTGGGGTCGCTGATTACGAATCTAAAGCCAGATTTTTGAAATTAAAATTCAAAAATTATTTTAAAATAATTTCCACCATATTGGATCTGCTATTTTGGATTTTAAAAATCTGACTTCAAATTCGTAATTATCAACCTCAAAAATCCTTAGATATCAAGATTAAAATAAATCCGTCAATTTTTTATAAAATTTTTTCTGTCACATATAAAAAATCTGCCATGTTTTTTGAGGTTAGAAAAAAATCCCGTCGTGATTCTAAAGGCGTTCTCACACCTTTTTGGCTGCCTGCAGGTTACCATGGCAACTAATGAGAGTGAGTGCGACAGAAAATTAAAAAATTTGACTATTCAAATTTTCTGTCTCACTCACACTCATGCGTTGCCATGGTAACCTGCAGGCAGGCAGGTAGCCAAAAAGGTGTGAGTGCGCCATTAGAGAAAAATAAAATTCAAATTCGTGTTATTTGAATAATTAAAAATAATAATTTTTTTTGGAGAATCGTCCAAATATGTCTAAGATAAAATAATAATTTAAGTAGGTATAATCTGTAATTTACATTATTGAAAATAAAAAAATAAAATTAATCAATAAATTTGTATATTATTTTTTACATTGAATCATTTTTTTTCCATCTATGTGTGAGTTATAAAGAATAATACATTGAAAAATTACAATCAGAATTATAAGTAGAAAACTTTTCTTTGAGTTTAATATATTAAAATTTTTATTTCTAATTATAAATATAAATATTTATATATTTATTACATTGTTAATTTTCTTTTTGTTTCAGAACTATATCAACGACCATCGACAAGAAAAATAATAAGAACAGTCGTCAAAAAATTGCATCTTTGCTCAAAATGTGGCAACAGTTTTCCCCATCAAGAAATGTTATTACAACATGTTCAAAATGTTTGCGGTGGAACACCAAGTTTTAAATGTCCTTATTGCGATCATCGTGGTTTTTCAACATCACTTGTCTATTCACATATTCGAAAATATCATCCTAAAAAGGAGGTTTTTATTCTAGATGACTTTTAAATTTAAAAATATTAACTTTATATTCTATACTTCTACTTGATTAAAAAATTTTTTTTTTTAATTAAATTAATTTTTTAAAATTAATTTAATTTAAAAAAAAAATTAATTAAAAACTATTCATATATATTGTGTGACAAAAAAATAAAATTTCGAAATATATATTCGAAATTAATGTATAACAATTATTATTGTGTGTGGGTGGGAAATAATTTTCCCATTATAATAAAATTTACTTTTACTCAAATTATGTTTAAATATTATTCTTTTTTTTCGATTATCCAAATATTAACAGCATGATACTTTATTCGTCTGTCTTCTTAAATGTTGGGGGAAAAAAAAACGGTACGTGTAAAATTACTTTATGCATAATATTTTCAAAATTATTTACACTTACTTACTTTTTTTTTTCTTTTTTAGAAAAAGAGAGAAGAGCGGAACTTTTTTCCATGATTGTGAGGCATAAATGTTATGTTAATGTGAAACGGGAGAATTTGGTTCCAATAAGAAAAAAAAGAAAGTATATAAAGAGGAAATTAACATAGAAAAGAAGATAAATTAATAAATTGCGAAAAAAAAATAGTTTATTTTTTTCGACATTTTTTTTTGCAAGGGAAACGTGTCTTTGAAAACACGTATGCAAGAGAAGCAAAAAAAAAAATGTCAAAAAAAATTGACTTTTGTATAATTTTTGCAAATTATACGACAAAAAATGCTCCGACTCAATTAGGAAAATTTTATATTCATTAATTGTATGGTTCTTGATTAACTTGATTTTTGATTATCGACAAATAGTCAAAAATTAAATTAATAAATAAATTAATTATTTATTAATATATATATTTAACAAATTAACAAAAATTTTTTTAGCTAAACTATATTTTTTAAAATAGGTCTTAGATTTTCAATATAATAAAATTAATGTAAAATTAATATAAAATTAATATATAATTAATAAAATAATTAATATATAACTAATATAATAAAAAAAGTATAATTAATATATAATTAATATAATAATTTTTAATATATAATTTTTAATAAAACTTTATCATTAATTTTATCAATAGCAGTAATTATGATTTTTACATTTTATTATTTGATTTTTCAATAATAATAAATTGTAAAAATTATCGTATCATTGCTAAATGCTAGAAAAATTTTTTTTTATTAATAATCAATTAATTTTATTAAGTTAATGAATTTAATAGAATACGCAATAATTTTTTGAAAAAAAGAATTTGAATTTTTTTTTAAAAGTTATAACCAATTTTTTTATTTTAATAAATACGGTAAAAATAATATTATTAAATTGATTTAATAAATAATAATAATAATGATAATAATAATAATAATAATAATAATAATAAATTGATTTAATAAATAAATAATAGAAAATAATTAAATAAAATAAATAATAAATTGCATAAATAAATTCAACAAAAAATTGTCACATTCTTTAAATTATTTAAGCTGATTTTTTACTATTAATTATATATTATTTAAAAAATATTGTTCTTCGTTTTTCTCATATTTTTTGGATGAAAGATGATTGTTTTGTATTAATTATTTCATTGTAATAAAAACAAATTTTGTCCATAATACATTTACGATTCATTTAATTTACATGAAATAAGCAATTATTTTACTTTTTAAGTAATATATATATAAATTTAAATATATTACAAAAAGCTTAATTAACTGAATGAAACACGTTTGCTTAAAAAAACTGTCTTCTGTCTTCACCTGTCCTTATACTTTTAATTTGGGGAATAAAAAATCTAAGCATGATTTTTTTTTTTTTTTTGAAAATAAAAAAAAAATCCCTCCTGATTGAATTTCACATTTTTCTTTTTTTTAGATGAAGAAATTATTACAATAACAGATAAAGAAAAGGAAGAAGAAGAAGAAGATGTGCCGAGAAGAAAAACAAGATCACTTACCAATAATTCAAAAATTGAAAATAATAAAAATAATTCACCAAAATTGAAAATTGAAAAAAAAATTGAATTAAAATCATCAAATCAATTTGAAGAAATGGATATTGAAGATGATTGTCCACCTGAAGATATTTCTCATCTTGGCTTTTTTCATCATGTACAACAACAACAATCATCAAGTAGCAGCAATGTAGCCGATTTATTTCCATGCGATAAATGCGGTGTTAAATTTGCCAGAAGAGATGTACTTTTTGATCATATATTTAGTGAACATTTTGATCAAAAATTAACGCCAAAAAAAGAATTCCCTTGTGAAAATTGTCATCGAAGTTATACATCGCGAAGTAATTTACGTCGTCATCAAAGACAAGAATGTAATACAGAACCACAATTTGTTTGTCCATTTTGTAATAAACCATTTAAATATGATCATGTACTACATAGACACATGACAACGGTGCATTCCGATTTTTTAACATAAATTCAAATTTATCACATTTCTTATAGTGTAGAGCAAAAAAAAAAAAAAAAAGAAAAATTAAAAAATAATGCGAAAAAAAAGTTAAAAGAAGAAAGGAAAAAAAAATTTTGTTTCAAAAATAATATACAAAAAAAAGAAGCAATTTTTTATATTTCATCTAAAATTGCGAATTTTTAGAAAAAACAAAAAATTAATATTGATAAATTGCCATAAACATAACCTCAAAATTAAAGAAAGGAAACAAACATTTTTGTTTATTTAAGTATTGTCTAAATTTTAAGGTTATGTTCATGTCAAGAAATCAATTTCTTTAAAATGGAATAATTTTTAATCTTTATAATTTGTATATGAAATTTAAAAGATATTTATTTCAATTTTTTTATACGATATGTTGAGAAACGAAAATTTTATAATTTCTATTCAAAGGAAATTGTAAAGTAAAAAAATTTATGAAAATAACTCAAATTAAAAATTTCAATTAAAAAATTTTGTGAGAAAATTTGCGAAGAATATTTACATGTAAAATCACTCAGATAGCACGTAAGCTTGCAGCAACCTTGCGGCAAGCTTGCCAACCTTGCACGGCAAACTTGCCGCAAGCTTCAAATGTCCCACCTAACCCAAGCTTGCATGGTAAACTTGCCGTAAGATTACAGTGTAAGGTTACTGCAAGATTGCTCAGTAAACTTGCACGGTAAGCTTGTTGCAAGGTTGGTGCAAGGTTGCCAAATAATCTTGCCGATCAGCACAGAAGGTTGCAGCAACCCAAACTTGCATGGTAAGCTTACCGAAAGATTGCAGTGTAAGGTTACTGCAAGATTGCTCAGTAAACTTGCACGGTAAGCTTGGTGCAAGGTTGGTGCAAGGTTGCCAAATAATCTTGCCAATCAGCACAGAAGGTTGCAGCAACATATAGTGCTCATTTTCAATGCAAACTTCTGCGCTGATTGGGGAAGGTTATTGGCAACCTTGCACCAACCTTGCCACAAGCTTACCGTGCAAGCTTGCGATAATCTTATCATGCAATGTTGCAGTAACCTTACACTGCAATCTTTCGGCAAGCTTGGGTTAGGTGGAACATTTAAAGCTTGCGGCAAGTTTACCGTGCAAGGTTGGCAAGTTTGCCGTGCAAGGTTGCTGCAAGTTTACGTGCTGACTGTGCACAATAATCACATAACCTTAAAAAAAATTCAAATAAATTTCTTAAATTTTTCTAAAAGTAGATCGCAACGATTTTGGATGAAATTACAATAAATTGGTCCTAAAAATGTTCTTTTTTTTTCATTATGTTTAGGTCTCGTTAGTTTATATATAATTCGTTTATGTTTAATTTTTTAAACTTATATTTATAAATTAAAACATATAAGAATTAAAATAAGATTCGTATTATACTTAATTTCGTTTCATGTTGATTGTATGATAATCATATTTAAGGTCGGTTACATATTCAATGTTTGCACTCGATATATATATATATAGTTATTATAATTTAAATTATGTATAATTATATAATATAAGCTTTTTAAATAATTAGTCTCTTGTCGTAATTAAGAAATTTCAACAAAAATGAAAAGAAAACAATCACAGTTTTCCTAAAAGTATCAAATTGAGACCAAAAATTGCATCAAATCTTTGCAACGTTTTGATGCACATAAGTTATATCAAAAAGAGATCGTTTTGTGTATCATTTTTAGAAATGATAAACGAAACGGTCTCATTTTTTGATGCAAAAAATTTAATCAATTTATATCAATCATGGCCGAATTGAATCGACTCAAAATTAAACGAATTTTTTTCAGATATTTTGGTAATAGTACAATTGCGGAGATCATTTCACTATTTAATTTGAAAATGAAAATAACAGAAAATCAAAGACAATGTGCAATTCGATAATTAAAAAGTGACAGCTTATAAACATAACCTAAAATGCATGAGAAAAAATTTGTCGATAAAATCAATATAGCCGAGCTTTTTAGAAGGTAGATGGCAGTTTTGCTTTTTATAAAAACGATTCAGAAAAAATTTAAAGAAAGAAAATAGATAAGTGCTGCCATCTACCTAATAAAAAGCTCGGCTATATTATTGATTTTATCGACAAATTTTTTCTCATGCATTTTAGGTTATGTTTATAAGCTGTCACTTTTTAATTATCGAATTGCACATTGTCTTTGATTTTCTGTTATTTTCATTTTCAAATTAAATAGTGAAATGGTCTCCGCAATTGTACTATTACCAAAATATCTGAAAAAAATTCGTTTAATTTTCATTCGATTCAATTCGGCCATGATTGATATAAATTGATTAAATTTTTTGCATCAAAAAATGAGACCGTTTCGTGTATCATTTCTAAAAATGATACACAAAACGATCTCTTTTTGATATAACTTATGTGCATCAAAACGTTGCAATAGAAAAAGATACAACCAAGTTTACTGTGATGAAAAAGATACAATACAAATTTATTTGTTATTATAAAAATAATCTTCAAAATTTTTCAAATCAATAATAAACAAACTTCTTTTCAAGAATTATTAAAAATATATTTTTATTTTCTATATGAAAAAATACGACTTTACAACGCAGTATTCATAAAATAATATACCTGTTCCTCAATGCAGTGAAAAAAAATTCATTTGTATTTAAATTATCGGTTATTTGACTATATTATTTCAAATATTCAAATTATATTTTAAAACAATTTTTATTTGAATTAAATAAACTATTTTTTGACAATAATTTAACAAATTTAAAAAAAAATAAATGTCCCTCAATTGACTAAAATAATATTTATTTGATAATAGTCAAATAACAAATTATTGGAATGAAATAAATTTTTTTCAATGTATAATATTATTGTATTACTTAATATTCGTTACGCATACATATACTTAAATGTATTTTATAATATTTACCAAAACATATATATAAATTACAATTATTTTTTATGTAATGTTATAATCTTTTCATTGCCAAAAAAAAATTTTTGTATTCTTAGAATTAATTATAATTATGACAAAAAAAAAACATTTCATTGACTATCAATAAATATTAATATTTCTCTACATTAATTATTTTCTACTAATTTTATTATATTATGTATGTATACAGCATGTTTATTATTTGTTAAAATTATTTTCAGTACAAATTTTGCATTTTAAACAATTTCTAAGATAAAGAGTGTACGCATTATGATGTTTAATTATTTAATAATTAATTATTTAATTAATTTTTCTAATAAAATTCTACATCAAAATTCTTTCAGAAAACAATATACAAAAAAAAAAAAATTAATACACTGAAAAAAATATTATTTTGTTTCAAATAATCCGTTACTTGGCTATTATCAAATAAATATTTATTTAAATGAAATAATTTTTTTTTCTGAATCAAATAATTTTTTATTTCAGTTAAATAATTTTTTATTTGTATCAAATAAATATTTATTTAGACCAAATAATTTTTATTTGAATCAAACAAATATTTATTCAGACCAAATAATTTTTATTTAGATCAATAATTGGATTACAGTCGAGTCAGTGATTTCTGTATTTAAAATAAATAACTTTTAATTGACTCAAATAATAATTATTTGATACAAATAAATATTAATTTGATACACTCAAAGAAATAATATATTTGTCTTACAATTAGAGCCAAATAAATATTTATTTGTTTCAAATAAATTTTTTTTTATTTGAGCCAAATAAATATTTATTTGTTTCAAATAAATTTTTTTTTATTTGAGCCAAAAAAATATTTATTTGTTTCAAATAAATTTTTTTTTTTTTTATTTGTACCAGAAAATTATTTGGTTTAAATAAAAAATTTTTTTGCGTTAAAAAAATTTTATATGTACTAAATTAAATTTTTAATTTAAATCAAATAAAAAGTTATTAGGCTCTGAGACAAATTGTCTTTTTTTATTTGATTTAAATAAATTTTTGTCTCAAATGCAAAAAAAAAAATATATTTCTCTGAATGTAATAGTCAAGTAACCGATTATTTGAGTAAAAAAATTTTTTTCAGTCCATTGTTGAGAAAATTATTACTTTTTGTAAAAAAAAAAAAATTATTTTTTCAAATTTACTTTTTCCAAGTTCAGAAATTAGTTTTTTTTTTCTCGACATCATAATGTGTCACGCTGTTAAAGTAACTTTTTTTTTAGGAAAAAAAAAAAATTTGCCTATAAAAAAAAAAAAATTTGTACATAAATGAATTTTTGATGTTATTCTGGTAAATTTAATGAATTATATTTTGATATTGAGCTGATATGAAACAATTTATTAAAATTACAGGTTTTCCTTTACCACATGTGGAGTTCAACTATTTGTTGCATTCTTCATCATCAAACGAGAGTTCAAGCATATTTACTGGTAAAAATATAAACGAAGGAACAAGTTCTTCTTCAAAATATTATTCGCCAACGAAAATTCAAAGTAATTCAGAAAAATCATCAGTGAAGAAACCATTTAAATGTCCAAAATGTGATCGTACATTTGCCGTTAAAGGAAATATGAATAGACATCTTAAATATGAATGTAATCAAGCGCCAAAATTTTCCTGTCCCTATTGTTATTTTCGCTCGAAACAAAGTTCTAATGTTCTTGCACACATTAGAGCACGTCACAGTGGTCAAAATGCTTATGTTATTAACCTAAGGAACGAGACATAAGAAAGAAAAAAAAATGTAATAACAATTTAAAAATTTATTTATTAAATAAATATTAAAAAATTTCTTTTTTTAAAAAATAATTGTATGGGCTAGATATTAAAAACAAAATTTTCAAATTTTAATTATATTTAATCTAAATAGTTTCATTTAAAAAAAAAAGAAAAAAAAATTGTGATTTATTATAATACTGAATAAAATTTAAGCGTCGAAAAACTATTTATAATATGATTTTAAAAGCCCTTGCATGGTTTTTTTTCAGCATGAAAATTATTATAACACGAGAAATAGTTTGTTAATTTTGCAAAAAATTCTTTTTGCGGTTTTTTTTTGAATATTGTATAAATTGTTTGTTAATAAATAATAAATATGATTTTTGTTTTCAGACTTAGTGAATCTGGATTCATTTGTCAGTTATGATCATCCTGGTGAAAATTTAGAGGATTCATCGGAGAAGAATTTACATCATTGTCCAAAATGTAAACGTGGTTTTACATTAAAGGGAAATCGCAATCGTCATTATAAATATGAATGCGGTCAAGAACCACGTTTTGGATGTCCATATTGTGATTTACGTAGTAAACAAACGAGTCAAATCTATTGTCACATTAGAAAAAAGCATCCTGATCAAAAATCATATTACATTAATTTAGAGTCGTAAAAGTAACGACAAAAAGACAAAAAAAAAAAAAAATGCCAAAAACCAATTTTTGTAGTTCTCAGTTGTGTTTAGAAAATCTAACATTATTATTATTATTATTATTATTTTATCTTAATATAGTATATAAATATGTGACGCGCTCTGAAGAATGGAAGATAAGAAGCAAAAAATTATAGGTTATGTTTATGATAGTTTGGATCCAAACATAACCTATAACCTATAACCCATAACCTTTTTTTGCATAAAAAAAGAATTTTTTTTATAACACAGCACATTATGTTTCCTAAACATTTCATGAATATTTCATTGAAAGATTTGAAATATTTCAATGCAAGGTTCATGAAATGTTGAGGAAATCAGGAAAATGTCCGCCTATAAGAAATATTGCCGTGCAATTTTGCTGGAATATTACACTTTAATACTCCTGCAATATTACACATGAAGACTCTGCAATATTCAGGAAACATTTCAAAGAAAGTTAGAAACTTTTTTAAAATATGAAATCAATCGTTATTTTCTAACATGTTCAACGCACCTTAGGATCCTGGAAAATTAAAAACTACTGCGCAGCTGTACAGGCCATAGAAACTGAGATCGACCAGTGCGCATCATTTAAGTTGGAAATTTTCTAGAATATTTTAATGAAATATTTCAGCAAAATTACAAGGCAATATTTCTTATAGGCGGACATTTCCCTAATTTCAGTAATATTTCAAGGACTTTGCATTGGAATATTTCAAAATTTCAATGAAATATTTCAGAAATATTTAGGAAATATCATGTGCTGTGTGAGGAGTTAATTGTGTCGGATTGTGAAAACTGAAATATTGTGACTGAGCTCGGTCCAGGTTAGATTTGAGAGGTTAAATTGCAAAAAATCAAAATATTATAAAAAAATGTTATTGGAAACATTAAATTAATAAGTTTTTAGTTGGGATAATTAAGCTCTTATTAATAAATAATTAACGTACATAGTGTAGTGAATTTACCTTCTATTTTGTGAAGGAAAAAAAAAAGAAAATGTTACAAAATGAACTTTTTTCGTATTGAATTAATAGTAATAGTATTTATTTTTGTTATTTATACAATAAGAAAGTATTTAATAAATTGAAAATAATATTAAATATAATAAATACGAAACGTATGAATATGTTCTAAAAATCATTAGTTATAGAATTTTCATTTTATGAATTTTCATTTGTCATAATTATTTTTGAGCCAAATTTTTATTTTTTCGAATTAATATTGTGCAGAATTTTCATCAAAACGATTTTCTATATTACACAATTTTTATTATAATCGAAAATTCACTTCACAGAATTTTTATTTCTTTGAATTTTTATTTGCTCGAATTTTCATTTAACATAATAGGCATTTTAAACAATTTTTATTGGGTAGAATTTTATTGCATAGAATTTTCATTTTATCCTTTCAAATGAATTTTTATTTGTTCGAATTTCCATATTACCGATTTTTCATACTACAGAATCGGTTATATGAAAATTATATCAAATAATAATTCGAACAAATGGAAATTCATCTGAAAGAAGAAAATGAAAATTCTACCTAATAAAAATTGTTTACAATGCCTATTATGTGAAATGAAAATTTGAGCAAATAAAAATTCGGACAAATAAAAATTCGAACAAATAAAAATTCTGTGAAGTGAATTTTCGGTTATAATAAAAATTGTGTAATATAGAAAATCGTTTTGATGAAAATTCCGCAAAATTCTAATTCGAACAAATAAAAATTCGGCTCAAAAATAATTATGACAAATGAAATTCCATAAAGAGTAAATTCTAACTAATGATTTTCAGAACATAATCATGCTTTTCATAAAAAAACAAAATTAATCGTTAAAGACCTTTGAAAATTTTTTCATCAGAAATAAATACTATTACTATTAATTCAATAGGAAAAATCCATATTTTGTGGCATTCTCTTTTTTTTCATTCACAAAATAGAATAGACCATGACAGGTAAATATTATTTATTTTATAAAAAAATTATTTAATATTTGTTTTATTTAATGTTTCATATTATTATTTATTATTTATTAATAAAAGCTTAATTTCCCCATAATATTATTTAAATCAACCAAAAAATCATTAATTTAAAGTATCAAATAATATTTTTTTAAAATATTTTTTGAAATTTAATTCCTCAAATCGAATTCTGACCGCACCTTGATCAGTCAGATTTTGGTTTTCACAATCCGTTAGGATTAAAATACACCGAAGATGATCAAACCATTGAGTCTTCGTTACGGAAATAATAGCTAATTTTTATTTTTCATGAAAAGAAATTTTTAATCAAGGTATGATAAAACTATTCAAATTGTCATAAACATAACTTTATAATTTTTTAATTTGTCCGCACTATTTTCAAGAACGCGTCACACATATTTATATAATTATATTTCCCCCAGTGATATTTGTTATCATATATTTATAAGAGATAATATTATAAAAGTTTGAAAATAACTCCCGCGATGATATTTTAGTAACATGAGTTTTTATCTAAAAATTAATGTGTGCATATAGTGTGTAGGTATTATAACAAATTTAGAAAGAATTTATTATGTATTTGTTTGCAATATTAAAATAAAATCTTAATAACGTGTTATAAAATAGATTAAAAAAAAAATAAGAATTTTTTTTTCAATTTTCCATAAAATGTATATATTTTTTTTTTTTTGTATATAGAAAAAAAAATTTTGTTTTTTTCATACCTCTTTTTTTCGACAATGCTTTATTGAACAAAAATCAATGTTCTCTTCGTTTTGTATAGATGAAAAATTATTATTAAAAGTAAAAAAAGAAAAATATATTGTTTCTAATTTGAATTATTTGTCTTTTTTTTCCAGATAATTCGGATGGTTCATATCCTTATGAAGAATGTGATTCTTTTAAAATGGATCTTACAAGAAGAATGTATGGAGATTATGTCTGTTCAAAGTGTGGAAAATTCTACAAATCATTAGGAACATTGCAACGACATTTAAATTATGAATGTGGTTTGGCACCACGATTCAAATGTCCCTATTGTAATTATTTTACAAAGCAAAAAATCAATGTCAAAAAGCATATTGTCAGAAATCATAATGACAAATCGATTTATGTTATTGATACAACGAATACTGATACGCCATTTGGTTGCGATTAATTTCATCATTACACAGTTTTCTTGTGTGTATTAAATTGATACAAGAATTAAGATCAACTCATGCAACGTTTTGATTCGATATAAGGTATATCAAATTGATCCAAATATTTGAATCATTTTCAAGAAATGATCCAGAATATGGGATCATTTTTTGATACCTGAATTGGTATCAAAGTAAAACTGTCATGGCTGGCATGCTCTTATTGACAAGTTTATTAATTAATTTATTCGCTGCACTGAATATTCAGATATTAAAAATACTTTTATTATGAATTTTAAGAAAGAGAGAAGCGAAAACTTATAAATTGCGAGCAATTAAATAAGAAAAAATTTATTTCGAAATAAAATGAAATACACTAACCTTTATTTATGTTTATCACATAAGATTTAAGTTAAGTTCACAATCACAACACTTGAAAATTTTTAATTATTTTTATGGTTCAAATAATTATCAATAATTTATTTATTATAAATGAACAAAATTTAAGCAATGCACGCTTGATAAATATTTCTAATGCGTTGTCAATTAATGCAATTAATAATTTCCTATTACACAATATCATAATCGACATATATGACATTTGTAAACAAACAGGGTTGGGAAACAGCCCAAAATATATTCATCCAAAGCGAATTTCAATCCTACCCAACTCTGCTTTGGACGAACATATTTTGGGCTCTTGTTTCCCAACCCTGTTTGTTTACAAATGTCATATATGTCGATTATGATATTGTGTAATAGGAAATTATTAATTGCATTAATTGACAACGCATTAGAAATATTTATCAAGCGGGCATTGCTTAAATTTTGTTCATTTATAATAAATAAATTATTGATAATTATTTGAACCATAAAAATAATTAAAAATTTTCAAGTGTTGTGATTGTGAACTTAACTTAAATCTTATGTGATAAATATAAATAAAGGTTAGTGTATTTCATTTTATTTCGAAATAAATTTTTTCTTATTTAATTGCTCGCAATTTATAAGTTTTCGCTTCTCTCTTTCTGAAAATTCATAATAAAAGTATTTTTAATATCTGAATATTCAGTGCAGTGAATAAATTAATTAATAAACTTGTCAATAAGAGCATGCCAGCCATGACAGTTATACTTTGATACCAATTCAGGTATCAAAAAATGATCCCATATTCTGGATCATTTCTTGAAAATGATTCAAATATTTGGATCAATTTGATACCTTATATCGAATCAAAACGTTGCATTCCAAAATGATACCATCAACTGTTAGCAAATATTTTTTTGTTATTAGATAATAATATTGTGGTTTTGATAATTTAAAATTATTAATATTTAATATTTTAAAATAATTTTAATGTATAAATAAAAATTGCTTTTTAGAGTATTTGAATTTTTAATTTTAGGAAAAACGAATGTGGTTTGCGAAGTTAAATTTTTAGGTGTTTGAAGAATTCGTTATTATTGAATTAATAATAAACAATTATTGATAATTTTTTTTTTTTGTTTCAGGAGAAATTATCTATGAGCTGCAATTAAAAATTATTACAGTAAAATTCACTGAAAAAATTTTTTTTTTCATTTAAATAATAATCAATTACTTTTCTATTGTCATATAAAAATTTATATTTGATTCAAATAGATTTTATTTAGTTGAAATAGAAATTGTATTTGTTTCAAATAAATTTTGATTAGTTGAAATAGAAATTTTACTTTTTTTCAAATAAATTTTATTTTGTTAAAACAGAATTATTATTTGTTACAAAAAAAAAAAAATATTTTATGAAATAAAAATTTTGTTTGTTTTAAATCAAAAATTTTATTGACGCTTAAAAATTTTTTTATTTTAAACATACAACTGGGTCATTCCACGCCAAATTGAATACCATTTTGTTTTTGCATCTCCGATTTTTTTTTTGAACTATTTTTTTCCATGATTTTATTCAAATTTTTTTTAATAAAATAATTCCGGGATAAAGAGTATTGAATTATTTTTAAAAAATGAAAAAAAGTAACATAATTTTTCAAAATTCCTTTATATCTGAAATTGCTTGATAAAAAAAAAAATTTGAAAAAAATCATGATAGCTCATATAAAATAGTGATTAAAAAAAATATATATTGCAAAAAAAAAATCGAAGATGCAAATACAACTTTGGTACAAAATTTTAAAAATTAAATTTTTTACACTTATCAAATTTAAATTAATTTTTTATACATTCGAAAATATAGTTAAACTACCTTTGATTTCAATTGTTTTTCTGATACTTTCTCAATACAAAGGGATGAAAAAAAGAAAACTAATCTTTCCATAAGCTTCTCGTAATGTTATAAATAACAATTTAAGTTTCTCTGCAAAATATGTTTGTGTTGCTTTGTACTTCAATAAAAAAAAAAAAAAAAAAAAAAATTCACATACATGAAAAATTATTGAATAAATTTAATTTCAATGTATATTAATGCTAATTTTTCTTTTCCTTTCAGTAAATTACATGCTGGAATCTGCAATTACGAATAAATATTGTTGTTCAACTTGTGGAAAAACATATAAATGGAGACAGGGTTTGATAAGACATCGAAAATATGAATGCAATGTTCCTCCAATGTTTCAATGTGTTTATTGTCCACACAAATCAAGACATAAAGATAATTTGATGAAACATGTTTTTGCACGACATGTTGATCGTAATCGTATATAAATTTGTACAATATAAAGTTATAATAATAATAAAAAAATGTTTTCTTTTAAATAGTCACTACTATTTAATTTTCCTTCTAATTTTTCAACATCAAAGGGAAATTTTTGGAAATTAAATATATTTTGTCTCGCAGAGTTAAAAAATTCTATTTTATAGTTAAAAATTTTGTTTCGTAAAATAAAATTATATTTGGCGCAAATAAAATTTTTAAATTCAAAATCAAATAAATTTTATTTAAAATAAATAAATATTTTATTTAGCTCAGGTGATAAATATATTTTTTTCCCTAGATGAAAAATCATTAATTAAAATACTATGAATGGATATAGTGATGTCGCAGCACAGAAACGCAGGTAGAAGATTTAACAAAAAAATACAGAATATTAAATAAGAAATAATTTATTTTTAATAACATAAAAATTTTAATTTTCTTTCACGTATATTTATCATACATACATTACATTACACATGCATAATAATAAATCATATACTAAAATATATTTGAAAATTGTTTTCATTTTTTTTTATTCTTTAAATTTATTTGTATTAATTAAAAATTTTCAATGTTCATTATAATTTTTATTTTTCTGCCATTTTTGACTAAGTTTTTTTTTATTTTTTAGATAAATCCAAGAATTCAATTATTGGCTATCTACAACAATTCAAATGTAAAAATGAAGGAAAACAGACTATAAAAAATGGTAATTAAATAATTTAATTAATAAATAAATAAACTTTTCGAGATAAAAGAGTTGGAATAGAAATTTTCATTTTTAACCAAACTAAAGGTTTTGATTTTATCAAAACTGTAGTAACTTTTACTTTTACAGATAATTTTCCTATGAATATTGGAACAATTCGAGTCAAACCTGACATAAAATTAAAAGAAGGAATAAAAATCAGCAATATAACATCTCTTAAAGGTAAAATTTTAAAATACTCTAGTTATCCTCTTATTTTTTGTTCGAAAAATATATGTGACGCTCCATGAGAAAAGAGCCGGCAAAAAAAATTTTAGGTTATGTTTGTGATATTATTATTATTATTATTATTATTATTATTATTATTATTACTATCGACAAATATTAATATAATATTATATATTATATAATATTATATATTATATTATATTATATTATATTATAGGATATACTTCCGAAGTAGGGGTACCTCCGATTTTAATGAAACTTGGTATACTAACGTATTTTGGTGCGCTGATTACGAAAATGATAGTGAAAATTGGCGCAAATTTGATTATCATGGTAAAAACCATAAAAAACTCCATAAAATAATGGTTTTTTACGATTATCTCGTAAAAAACAAAAAATTTCGAAAAAAGTTTTAGACAAAAGTTGTAGATCTCAAAAAAACACACATTTTATGTTTTATGCATTTTTTACCAAAAGTCATTATTTTTCGAGAAAAATCCAAAAAACGAAAAACACCATGATAATGAAAACATATACAGCAGTCATGGTTAGACATATTATTTGACTCGTATATAGTATGGGGTACCTTTGATCTTAATGAAACTTGATATACTAACGTATTTTGGTACGCTGATTACGAAAATGATAGTGAAAATTGGCGCAAATTTGATTATCATGGTAAAAACCATAAAAAACACCATAAAATCATGGTTTTTTACGATTATCTCGTAAAAAACAAAAAATTTCGAAAAAAGTTTTAGACAAAAGTTGTAGATCTCAAAAAAACACACATTTCATGTTGTATGCATTTTTTACCAAAAGTCATTATTTTTCGAGAAAAATGGTCCGAAAGTAATTTGCGGAAATTGTGGGGTGGAGTCTACAGCAGCGGTAAATGCAAAATATTAAACACGGCCTTCGGCCGCGTAAGGTACTGCTCGCTTCTCTTTTTAAGAAATCTTGGCGAGAGGGGGTGGATGTGTCCGAAAGTAATTTGCGGAAATTGTGGGGTGGAGTCCACAGCAGCGGTAAACGCAAAATAGTAAACACGGCCTTCGGCCGCGTAAGGTACTGCTCGCTTTTCTTTTTAAAAAAAACCTTGGCGAGAGGGGGTGGATATGGCCGAAAGTATTTTGCGGAATTCGTTAGATCCTGACTAATGGTGAATATGATACTGTATACGAGTCAAATAATATGTCTAACCATGACTGCTGTATATGTTTTCATTATCATGGTGTTTTTCGTTTTTTGGATTTTTCTCGAAAAATAATGACTTTTGGTAAAAAATGCATAAAACATAAAATGTGTGTTTTTTTGAGATCTACAACTTTTGTCTAAAACTTTTTTCGAAATTTTTTGTTTTTTACGAGATAATCGTAAAAAACCATTATTTTATGGTGTTTTTTATGGTTTTTACCATGATAATCAAATTTGCGCCAATTTTCACTATCATTTTCGTAATCAGCGCACCAAAATACGTTAGTATACCAAGTTTTATTAAAATCGGAGGTACCCCTACTTCGGAAGTACACCCATATTATATTATATTATATTATATTATATTATATTATATTATATTATATTTGTCAATATAGGGGAAATACCTGAGTAATATCGGACCACTCTATTATTATTATTATTATTATTATTATTATAAACTAAAGTTTATGTCTTCATTAGATAGTGCCAGCCCTCTGTTTTTTATTTTTTTGGAGATGGCCTTATGACTTATTTTGAGTTAATGTTTGGCCAATTTTTGGAATTTAAAACTATTATTAATATTTTATTATTGATTTTTTTAAATGTTATTTACGATTTTTATTAATAATAATTTTTATTATTTTTAATTTTTAAAACAAAATTTGTCTAATTTTTTAAATTTTCCTGCCAAAATTCGACTTACATTTAAGGTTATGTTTGTTTTTTGGTCATTTTCCTTCAAAATTTGACCTAAATTTTGAGGTTATGTTTGTTTCTTAGTCTTTTTGCGCCAAATTTTATCCTAAATTTTGAGGTTATGTTTGTTTCTTAGTCGTTTCCCGCCAAAATAACATAATCTTAAAATTTAGGTCAATTTTGGCGGAAAATCCACCTCCATTTCAACGTAAGGAAGGGGGGGGGGGTGCTTGCGACTATATTTAGTCTTGAAACGAACATAACCTTTAAATTCAGGTCATTTTTTTGGAGGAAAACCACCTCTACTTGCGGCTATATTGAAAGTCTTGAAACGAACATAACCTCAAAATTAAGTTATTTTTGACGATGGGAGGGATAAGGGAGAGCGAGACTTGCGGCTATATTCAAAGTCTTGAAACGAATATAACCTCAAAATTTAGATCATTTTTGGCGGGAGAGGGGAAATGGGAGGAGGGAGGGGGTCTTGCGGCTATATTCATAGTCTTGAAACAAACATAACCTCAAAATTTAAGTCACTTTTGGCGGGAAATACAGAGAGAGGGGAAGCGGGGGAGGACTTGCGGCCCTATTTAGAGTCTTGAAACGAACATAACCTCAAAATTTAGGTCATTTTTTGCGATGGAGAGGAGAGAAGAGGGGAGACTTGCAGCTATATTCATAGTCTTAAAACAAATATAACCTTAAAATTTATGTCATTTTTGGTGGGGGAGAGGAGATGGGGAACTTGCAGCTATATTCATAGTCTTGAAACAAACATAACCTCAAAATTTAAGTCACTTTTAGCGGGAAATACGGATAGAGGGGAAGGACTTGCGCCCCTATTCAGATTCTTGAAACGAACATAACCTCAAAATTTAGGTCATTTTTTTGCGATGGAGAGGTGAGAAGAAGGGAGACTTGCTGCTATATTCAGAGTCTTGAAAGTTTGAAACAGCAGCGGCGGGTGATATCTTTTTGTAATATAGTTAGATAAACTAAAGTTTATGTCTTCATTAGATCAAAAATATTCAATAGAAACTGATTTTGATTTTAGATAATTAAAAATAAACGTTTAATCAACCTAAAATTATCACTAAACATAACCTAAACTTTTTTCCCTTTTCTCGCGGAGCGTTACAAATTTTGTTATTTTGATACCTACGTTATAAAAAAAGCTTTTCTTTTTAATAAAAAGATTATTAATAAAAAGATTAATATTAATTTTGATAACAAGTAGAAGAATTATTCTCTAAAAATTTAACGTAAAAAATTTTAAATACATTGAATTAGTAATTGTTCTTCTGCTCTTAAATAAAATTCTAAAATAAATAATAAAAATTATATTGTTGCACCAATTCGCAGTAAAAGGTTAGTTACTAATTCAATTTAGTAATTAATTTTTTTACTATAAGTCAGATTTAGAAAGATGCGATATAGTAATGATTTGATAATTTGTAAATGATAATAATTTTTGTGACTAAAATTTGTAATCTTTCAGATAATTCACGTGTGGATGTTGGAAACATAATATCACAATCCGATACTAAACTCTTAAGATCAAGAAAAGTTGTCCCGGGTAATTATAAAATTATTTGTATTATAAAAAAACGAAAAAAGTTTACTAACTACAAATTGTCGAATTTCCATTTTGATAAAACTTTCACATATCGGATCATTCAACTGGACAAAACACTTAAGCGTATATTTTAAAATCAACCAATTAAAAATTATCAAAAAAAAAAAAAAAATGTGATAGGTGGATTTTTTATCAAATGGAAATTCGACGTTTTAACAGTTCCATCAAATGAAAGACATATAAAATTCGGATAAATGAAAGTTCGGTCAAATGAAGTTCCGAGTAAAATAGAAATTCTCCCACTTAAAAATTTTTCTAAGTAGAATTTCTGTTAAATAAAAATTAGTGGGAATAAAAATGTTCTTTAATAAAAGTTTTATTAAATAAGAATTTTGTTAAATATAAATAAATAAAATAAAAAAGAAGGTAAATTACTTGAAGTTTATTTTTTCAGTGGAATATAAAGATTTACATTCAAAACCTAGTTCTAGTAAAAAAAAGAGTAAACCAGGCAGACCAAGAAGTTTCTTCTATAGACGAAGTGTTGATAAAGATGATGAGGACGATGGTGATGAAGAAGAAGAAGAACATGTAGAAGAAGAGGAAGAAGAATATAAAGAAGACGAAGAAGATGAAGAAGATGACGAAGAAGAATATGCTCCACCAATACCTAGAGGTAAAATTTAGTCCTACTAGAAACTAAATTAATTAATTTTATAATGAAAAGACATTTTACCGTTATTTTTGTTTAACATATAATTTATTTATTTTCTCACCTAAAAAAAAGAAAATATAAATAAATATTTATAACAAAGTCAAAAATGGGCTTCAAATTTTTTAATTCTTGTTTCGAATAATATAGAAGATGTTATAGAAGTTTAAAAAATTTTAAGCCTACTTTTGAAAAAAAAATTCTGATATTTTTTAAATGAAGTTTATAAATTTACATCGTTCAATAGGACGAAAAGGCAGAAGGAGAACTTTTATCTATAAACGAAATATTGACAAAGAAAAAACATCACAAGAAAAAGTTGAATTTTACACTCCACCTGAACGTAAAGGTAACTCCATAATGCTACATTGAATTTACTTAACAAAATATAATTCTCATTTGCCATTTAAATTTGTAATAAGTTTTATAAAACTTTTCTAATTAAGATTTTTGTAAAATAAAATTTATATATACACTAAAACGTCAATCGAGAACAGACGAATGTGCAGTGCTGTTCTCGATTGACGCGATTTTTATCGCTCGAAAATAAAAACACTCAGGGCCGTATGAAGGGCCTTACGCAACAATGTGAATTCTATCTAGGGGATTTTCACTAGTGGGGCACTGAATCCACCTTAAATTTAAAAATCACAAGTACGACTTTGGCGTCAGTCATAACCTAAATTCTACCCGCTTCCCCACTTCCCTTCAAGTGTTCCCTTGCTCTGTTCTCGACTGACATGTTCTCGATTGACGTTCTAGTGTACATGTAATAATTTTCGGCAAATAACAATCATGACAAGTGATTTTTTTTAATAATATAATGAGACTTATGGCAAAAGAGATTATTATATTATGTAAAATATATAAAAGATGAATTTTATTTATGAATTGAGATACAAAGATCTAAATTATATCCACTAGGAGTAAGAAGGGGCAGACGAAGAACTTTTATTTATAAACAAATCGTTGATACTCCACCGGATAAAAAAGAAGAAAGTTCACCTCAAATTAGAACTGAAGATATATCCATACATAATCAAGCAGAAAAAACGGAGAAGCCAAGAATATTTGTCCAAAAACAAAACACTGATACTCTTCCAATACCAAAAACTGAAGTTATTGAAGGTATAATTTTGTATATTATTATCGAAAAAAAAGAAAATAAAAAATGAATTATTATCACTGGAAATTGAATTTCTTTTTTCAGACGAGCACAGTGTTTGTGAGATTTCTACTCCCTTCTGGGGCTAACTTCCAAGCAGTGGTTTTAAACATATTTTACGTTACATTTTTTCTGTTTGCTTTCTCATAGGATTTAAACTGATTTTTTACTTCATAAAATGAATTTTTTTTAAAATTTTACTATATTTTGACATGGGAAACAATTTGTATATGTACAAAAAAAAATCAGTAGTCAGCCCGCACAAAAATCTCAATCTGAAATAATTTGAATTCTGTAAGTACAAGTATCCGTATTTAGTGTGCAGAAGATTGAAATTAGTTCGGTAAAAAAATATCCAAAACGGGATCCGAAATAATCCGAAATTTTCATATACATAATTCGGAGTTTTTATTTATGTGCAACATGCGAAATAATTTACAAACAACCTTGAATTATGCAGATAAAAAAAACCGGTATTACTTTGCAATAATTAAATTGCAGATTAAATTTTTCTTCTTCTAGACTATTGTGCATTAAATGCAAATTTACATTATGTACAGATTTCGGATTATTAAGGACTCCTTTCGGATTCAGATTTTTAACCGGGAAAAATTCATATTATTGTCATAACTGAATACGGATTTCTTCCATTTAGATATCGAATTATTTTGGGTTCTTATTTTTGTGCTGATTGACTGTTGATCTTCTCTATATAAATTCTATATATTTTTAAATTCATTTCGGATTAGGATGTTTGACCAGTCTAAAATCTTGACCAGTCTAAAATCCGATTGTTGCGAACTATATTTTAATTTACTCTTACTGCATATAATGCAGTATTCGAGACTTTCAATACATTCATCACAATTCTTAATCTAATTACACATAAGTCTTAATCTAATCGAAATTTTAATCTATAACAACCCACACAGCAACGAAACTTTACTGAACATTTATTAAAGGTTTAAGTCCAAAATACGGACATTTTAGACTCGCAGGAATATTTCACAAATTTTATTTGATTTAAATGAACACCGTTTGTAACATAACCTCCAATTTTACATTTAATTGCAAAAGTACCATCCGTCGGTAACATGGAGTAGTATAAGGAGACCAAACGACCATGTTAAATCTGCGTTAAAAGTGGACCAAATTTTGGTAACCGCTTAGTGTCATGAAAATACGTAATGGAACACTAGCGCCACTGATTGTGTTAAACTCAAGCGGTTACCAAAATTTGGTCCACTTTTAACGCAGATCAAGATTTAATCGATAAGACGATTTTTGATCTGAAACAGGAGTCGTTGACAATTCTTGTTCATTTGTACGATCTGCGAGAGGTCTTGTTGACTTCGAGGAGGGTTGTACTTCATTCTATATAAAACAGTAAATAAATTTTATTCTATACAGTTAAATTAATGAAATTAAACAATAATTTAAAATGTTGAAATGCATGTTTAGAAAAAAAAGGAAAAAATATTTAATTTTTACACGAACGTACACATATATCATTTTTTTTGAAAAATTAACTAGTAGAACAGAGACTAAATTATTAAAAAAAAAATTTAGAAAACTTAATACCTCAAAAATAGTTGGAATGCTTCCAGATTTTAAGTTTATCCTTTTCCGTGTCAAGGTGGTAATATTTCCATCTTTCCACATTTCTCTCGTTCCTTCTCTAAGACAATCTTGGGTAAAATGTTTATTACAAATGAATAAACATTTTTTAATCCTTTTGCCTCTTTGTTTTTTGAGGTTATCGCCAATAGCCTCTAACCACATATGTTTTGATTCCTTAAAAAAATTAATGTTAACAGATAATTTGAAAATAATATGATAAATAAATATTAATTATTAATAAGGCACGGTTTAAATTTTATATGTTTTACTATAATAATAAATACTTACCTCATCTGATGGAAAAGAAAATAGAGAAAATATATGGAGTTTATTTTCTTTACCGTATTTTTCGTCCACTATACAGTCCCTCACGCAGCATATTCTCCCCATTTTTTTTTTAAAAAGCAACAATTTTATTAAATATAATCGCATCAAAAAATTTATGGATAAACCATTTACCATAACCGCATAAACAGAAACTTAAAAACAGCGTCTGCTACATTTCAAATATCAGTGTCAAGAAAGTATGCGCAGAACACTCAAATTCGTCTGAATAGCAAAGCACGAACGATAAGCCACGCCTTCTAGTGGCTTGTTTTTCACGCCGCATCTTTACAACGGAGTTTCCCCTCCTGGTTCTAGTCTTCTTGACGCAGATTTAACATGGTCGTTTGGTCTCCTTATACTACCATAACAGTAAGCTTACACAGAAAAGCTAAGGTAAGCTTACACAGTAAGGTCGTGGTAACCGTAAGGTTACTGTAAGGTTACTGTAAGGTTACTGTAAGGTTACTGTAAACATAGAGTAATATGAAAATATATTAAAAATAATTATATTATAAATTTTTTTAAATAAAAAATTATATATTTGGTAGAGTACTTTATGAACCCTAATAGGGTTTGTTAAATAAAATTTACTGCGCAGCCGTATGTGCCATAGAAAACTACTGCGCATAAATATTAATAAAATTTATTTATTAATAACATTCCATGTTTACAGTAACCTTACAGCAACCTTACAGCAACCTTACAGTAAGCTTACGGGAAGCTTACAACAACCTTACCGTGTAAGCTTACCATGTAAACTTACTACAACCTTACTGTGTAAGCTTACCTTAGCTTTACTGTGTAAGCATACTGTTATGGCGGAAGTTTTAAGATGACCTCAAGTTTACTGTAGGCCTACACGGTAACCTTACAAACCCTACAGATATCCTTATAGTAACCTCACAGTAAGAAGTCGTGCTATGTGGGTATTGAAATTTTCGAGTTATGAATTTTTAAAAATTTGGTTTTTTCGAGTTTTTTTTTTAAAGAAACATAATTTCAATGACATCTAACACTAAAAATATTAAATTTAGGAATTATGGCCAAGATACAAAAAATTTTCAGTTTTTACTTTTTTTTTTATTTTTACATACATGAAAATAATAAGAAAATTTTGTAAAATCCTCTTTTTATATGACTTGTTTTACAAAAAGAAATTTTTGCTTTTTTTCGTTTTTATATAAAATAAATCAAACTTAAGCCAGAGTTACTCGGATATTTTAACGAAGGTGCAAATTTTATTTTAATATTTTAAAATTCAATAGTAAAATTTTAATTCTTCGATGAAATTTTTTCAATAACCATATTCTATGAGAAAGGAAAAAATGTTCATGAAATGAACATAAATATTATATTTATATACTTAGTTCTTCTATAAGGAAAAACTTTCTGTTTAAAGTCAGAAAGTAATGGTATACCAAGAGAAAAGATTTCTTTTTCATTTAAAAAAACCAATTTCTTTAACTTGTTTTCTTTTATTTAAAAGAAAATTTTCTTTGAAACAAAAAAAGCTTCTTAGTTTCAAAGAAAATTTCTTTGAAGGAAAAAAATTTGTGCATTAAATCAAAAAAATTCTAACATTAATAAATAGGGTCAAAGAAACATTTATTTGAATTAAATAAAAAATTTCTTTAAAACGAATATGATTTTTGTTGCATCAAAGATAGTTTGTTTGAAACAAATAAATTTTCTTTATATCTAAGAAAAATTTGTCAAAGGAATTTGTTTTCGTTGAAATAAAAGAAATTTTTTTTCTGAGTATAAAATTTATTTTCGTACATTGTTTAAATATGTTTTATAAAATTAGGACAGGTGTTTAACATCGAAATTGTTATTTTAATAGTCACTATATTGAAAAAAAAAATATATATATATATAAGTAAATAAGTAAGTGAATTTATAACATTAATGTGATATTATAAATATGTTCCCTGGTCTGCAGAAAAAGATCTAATGTTTACAAAATCGATTTTCACATTTTTTTTATCGATTCTGATAAATAAAAGTACGCTGATTATGAAATCGATGTCAGTTTTTCAAAATTCAAAATGGCGGAAGATTTTTTAAAAATTAATCAAATTTGCTAAAACTTGTTACTCGGGAGTTTTTGATATCACTAATTACGAATCCGATGTGAGTTTTTTTTTATTAGACCAAGGCACATATCTTAATTCTTCACGAAAAAAAATCTTTATCTGGAACAGCGATATAGCGAAAACTTTTGCTGTTTCAGGTAAAGATTTTTTTCTGTGTGTCAAAAAAAAGAAACATATGATTATATTAATTAACTCCTTCACAGCACAGTTTTCTTGTGTGTATCAAATTGATACAAGAATTAAGATCAACTCATGCAACGTTTTGATTCGATATAAGGTATATCAAATTGATCCAAATAGTTGGATCATTTTCAAGAAATGATCCAGAATATGGGCTCATTTTTTGATACCTGAATTGGTATCAAAGTATAACTGTCATGACTGACATGCTCTTATTGACAAGTTTATTAATTAATTTATTCACTGCACTGAATATTCAGATATTAAAAATACTTTTATTATGAATTTTAAGAAAGAGAGAAGCGAAAGCTTATAAATTGCGAGCAATTAAATAAGAAAAAATTTATTTCGAAATAAAATGAAATACACTAACCTTTATTTATGTTTATCACATAAGATTTAAGTTAAGTTCACAATCACAACACTTGAAAATTTTTAATTATTTTTGTGGTTCAAATAATTATCAATAATTTATTTATTATAAATGAACAAAATTTAAGCAATACACGCTTGATAAATATCTCTAATGCGTTGTCAATTAATGCAATTAATAATTTCCTATTACACAATATCATAATCGACATATATGACATTTGTAAACAAACAGGGTTGGGAAACAAGAGCCCAAAATATGTTCGTCCAAAGCAGAGTTGGGTAGAATTCTGTTTCACGTTTAAGGTTAACGCACATGTAATTTTGAAATAGGGAAAAACTGAATAATTATTATTAATTGCATTAATTGACAACGCATTAGAAATATTTATCAAGCGTGCATTGCTTAAATTTTGTTCATTTATAATAAATAAATTATTGATAATTATTTGAACCATAAAAATAATTAAAAATTTTCAAGTGTTGTGATTGTGAACTTAACTTAAATCTTATGTGATAAACATAAATAAAGGTTAGTGTATTTCATTTTATTTCGAAATTTATTAAATTTAAATTTTTATAAGTTTTCGCTTCTCTCTTTCTTAAAATTCATAATAAAAGTATTTTTAATATCTGAATATTCAGTGCAGTGAACAAATTAATTAATAAACTTGTCAATAAAGGGCATGCCAGCCATGACAATTATACTTTGATACCAATTGAGGTATCAAAAAATGATCCCATATTCTGGAACATTTCTTGAAAATGATTTAAATATTTGGATCAATTTGATATACCTTATATCGAATCAAAACGTTGCATTTCAAAAAGATTCCATCAAGTTTACAGTGAGTTCATAATTTACATTTTTATGAATTTTTTTAAGTAACTCTAATCAAGTTGAAAGTATATCAGTATAGATAATTTAAATTTTTTGGTAGTCGATGAATCCGAATGTGGTTCGAATTTAAAATTCCATACATCGTCTTCCAAATATCGACGAAAATAATGTTTTTAAAAATTGAATTTTCGGCTCAAATAAAATTTATTTTTATCTAATTGTGAAGTGGTTAAAACAATTTATAAATTATATAAATGTAACACATCGTATATAAAAATTAGATTTCACAGTGTGTGTAATTTTTATAAATTATTTTCATTTTTCAAAACTAATTATGTACAAGTGTAAACTAAATGAAATAATAAAGAATATTCGATTCAAAGAAATAAATAAACATATATGTCTTCTACGGATTTAAAACGGAGTTTATATATACAAATTAATTATCATAAAATTGAAATTTATATTTTTTATTTCGAATTGTATTTTTTTTCATTGTAGTCTATGTTTTCTTCACTGTTTTCTAAATGTGTAAGTCAATTTGAATTTATTTGTAACAATAACCAATTTTTTATAATTGATTTTAATCAAATTATTAAAAAAAATTTTTTCAGACTATGGAAACTTATGGCAAATCATTCCATCATCGGCAAATAATTCGAAGAAAAGAAGAGGCAGACCAAGTGAGGGACCCTATATATGTATGAAATGTGGAAAATTATTTAATTTAAAAGTTCTATTCAAGGAACATCAAAGAAAAGAATGTAAAAATGTGCTTTCATCTTCTAATGGTAAAAAGAAAAATAATGCAAAATCACGAAAATTGAAGAAAACATCGGAAAAAATTTATAAAATTATTCAAAAACCACAAATTAATGTAGAAGAAATAATTTTACCAGCATCACCGTCTAATGTTATAAATTCTGGGGAGAAAAAATTTTCATGTCCCACGTGTAATCGAAGCTATGTTAATTATCGTGATTTAGTTCGTCATCAACGTTATATTTGCGAAAAAGAACCACAATTTGCTTGTACTTATTGTGATCGTCGATTTTATCATAGATATCGTTTACATCATCATTTAATAAGCTTACATCCAGGTCACTTGAGCTAAAAAAAAAACCACGATTCAAAAAACAAGTGAATATTACGAATAAATAAAAAAAAAAAAATTTTTTTTATTTAAAAGACATTTTTTGAACATGTCGATTTTTTTTTAAATTTTTGAAATATTTATAATACTGTTTCGTGGAACATTTTCAATAAGTTAAATTACTCATTGAGAGTTTTTATATTTGTTACAAAAAAAATTTATTATAATATATTATACAATATATAAGTAGTACCCATATAATATAAAATCGTTGTCAATAAACTACTGCTGTAAGTTATAGAAAATGTATTTCTAAGTCACTAAAAAATACACCGAAAAAATTATTTTATTTTTACTTCCACTTTGACTTTGATTTTCATTTTTTTGTGAAAAATTTCATTGTGACTTTCAGTTTGATTTTGATTTTCACTTTCACTTTTCATTTCTATGTGAAAAATTAAAAGTGAAATTCAAAGACAAAATCAAAATTTATTACATTAAAATATATTTCAAAGTCTCTTAAAATTATATTAATATTTAACAATTATAATTTTTAACATTAACTGATTTTAATTTTCACTTTCATTTTGACTTTCACTTGAACTAACTTCGTCATTGAAAGTGAAAATAAAAACCAGTGAAAGTGGAAATTTTTGAAAATAAAAGTAAAATAATCTAATTTGGTTAGAAACCAAAATTTGTTGAATATTGTCAATTATGGATTTATTATAATAATTTAAAAAAAACCATAAAGTTAGATTTAAGTTTATAATATTTGAAAATGCGTTTTTTTCGTCAGTTTAAAAATTATTTTTAAATACTTTATGCTATTTCTATTTCAAATTATGCAAGTCGAACAGGTTGAAAATTCTTAATAATGTTTAATATATTTTTTAAATTGTTTTTTAGGCCAAATAAAGGAGATACATATTATATTTTTGTTTTGCTAAAAAAAAATTTTTCTCAAAATTACGAGCATTTAAAAATTTTAAGGGCAAAAAGTAGTTTTTGAGTCAAACGGTTGCAAAATTTTTTTTTTTTTAATTTTCTCTACTTTTTTCAAAAATCAATATTTTTCAACTGTGTTTATTAATTTCAGTAATGTTTTCTATGCTAATATATTTCGTTCCAATTTTGGAAATGTGAAAAATTTTGATAATTATCAAAAAATGGCAGTTATTTTTTTGAAATATCAAATACTCAATTGTCTCAAAAAAATAATTTTTAAAATTCTAAAAATTTTAAAATACTAAAATCGAGCTAAAATTAAAAAAACAAAAATTGTAAAATACAAATTTTTGAAAAAAATTTTCAGCCGTTTCACTTAAAAATTACTTTTTGCTTTAAAATATTCAAATGCTCGTTACTTTGCACATTTTTTGCAAAAACAAAAAAAAAATATCTGTCTCTTTATTTGGTCTAAAAAAACAATAAAAAAAAATATTAAACATGATTTAGAATTAACCACTTTAAAACTACGAATGTGCATTTTAAAAAATAGTTATCAAATCGTATAGTAGATTTCAATTTACTCTACATAATCAATTAAAATCTGTAGAAAAATTTTGTTATTAAAAAAAATTACATTTAAAAATACCAGGTGTCTTTATTTCATTGTTTATTAATAAAAATTATGAATAATGTATTTTATTTATTAATTCTTCTATTATTTATTATATTTATTAATTCTTCTATTATTTATTATATATATATATTTATTCTATTTCGGTTATTTTATTTTTCAAATTAGCAATTAAGGTTTATTAATTAATTTTCATTAGAAAATCAAGTCAAAAACGAAAAAAAAAAGAAAAATAAAGTTTTTTGATAAATTAACAATTTTATTTCAAATATTCCTATTTTTCATTTCAGGTTAATTAAATGTCAAAATTATCACTGAAACATTGATCCTGAAAAATGGAAAAAAAATTTAATTTAATGGTTAATTTGAAGCTGTATAAAATTAATTAATAGTAATTAAGTAATTAATTAATTTGTAGTATAAAATTTTTTTTTTTGAAATGATCTTCTATTTAAAAATTACATGAATTGTTTTTACAATCACTTTAATTATTATAAATAAAATATTTCTAATTCATAATTATACTAATTAAAAATTATTTTTTTTCAGACTCATGTTGGTTAATGACTGCACCATCAGGGACTGGTTATTTTGTAAATCAAGAACTTTCAAATCAAGATGGTCAAGGAGGAAAAATAAGATATCATTGTCCAAATTGTGATAAATCATATTCACAAGAAGGCAATTTAAAAAGGCACAGAAAAATGGAATGCGGTGGAAAAAAAACTTTTGTATGCAATATTTGTAATCGTGGCTTTACTAGAAAATTGAATTTACAACAGCATTTATTTAGTATTCATAAAGTTTATTTAAATAAAAGGGGTTTTTAAATTTTTTTTCTAATTTAGTTTAAAAATGAAGGCTTAAATTTTTTCTTCATAAATTAAAAAAATTAAAAATTTTGATTTAAAAATAAAACTAAAAAATTACAAATTAAAATTGTACATTAATAATATTTGAATTATATGGAAAAATGTTAATTGTGTATTTTATTATATAACTATACAATTGTATATGACAAAAAAATGTATTTTTACATGTGTTGAGAAATAAAAATTATACACCGATAATTGAAATTCAATTAACATTATAATTTATTATTATTATATAATAAAAAATATTTATTTATTATTTATTAACAGTATAATTATTATTATTATTATTAACAAAAGGGATTATCTGTTTTTTTGCCCGTTTATTATGTAAATAAATAAAACAAATAAAAAGATTATAATTACACAGGACTACAAGAAAAATTGAAATATTTACAAGGCAAATGTGAAAAAGAATTTCTGGCTATTTTGATGCGCTGCAAACGAATTTAAAGTCAGATTTGCTCACATTTAAAGTCAGGATTTCTTATTGACCTCAAAAATATCGACGAATCACGAAATTATTTGTTTAAATGAAAATTAGGCCTAAGCAGAATGAAATCTCTAATCGTAAATCTTAAGCTTTTACATGAGAGAGAAAAGGATAGAAATATCTTTTGTCCTTTTCTCTCTCATGTAAAAGCTTAAGGCCAGGTCCAAGTCGAGTCAGCTGTTCCATTGAAACTGACACGACTTGGACCTGGCCTTGAGATTTACGATTAGAGATTTCATTCTGCTTAGGCATATTGGGTTGTTCAAGTTGGGTGGAGAGAAATTCAAAATGGCGATTAAGCGGTGCACAAACAATAACAAACAAGAAATGTACAGGATAAAGTCGAATTTTTTTAATATCTCGCTTAAATGAAATTTTGGAACCTAAGTGTATTAGGATTTTAGTTTCTATTTTTAATTACCTATTTAATGCAATAATAAAAAACGATTTTATTTTTTTTAATAAATTTTATTATTGCATTAAATAGGTGTTTAAAATTAGAAACTAAAATCCTAATACCCTTAGGTTACAAAATTTCATTTAAGCGAGATATTAAAAAAATTCGGCTTCATCCTGTAAATTTCTTATGTTTGTTTGTTCACCGTTTAATCGCCATTTTGGATTTCTCCCCACCCAACTTAAACAACCTAAAGGTGCTTTTATACCTCCAGTATTTTGGTCAAGCAATTGACTGCAATGAATTTTCACGATGAATCACTGAATTTGATTGGCTCTAACAAATATTCCATTTTCACCATGAAAATTGAATATTGTTAGAGCCAATAAAATTCAGTGATTCCTCGTGAAAATTCAATCCAGTCGATTGATTGACTACAAAATACTGGAGGTATAAAAGCATCTTTATTATGCTTGATAAATAGTAATGGAGCATTTACACCTTCGGCAAAAAATTTCTTCACTTTGCATTTTCCGAAATACACTTATCTAATTGGTTGTCCAGAATCTGATTCATTGTGGACAACCAATCAGGTATGAGTATTTCGGAAAATGCAAAGTGAAGAAAATTTTTTGCCGAAGGTGTAAATACTCCATAAATTTTGGTAAATTTTCACTGGAAATCCAGTAGAACGTCCGAAATATGCCATATCTTTATATATTTGACACCTGTCCCACCCTGCTTTTTCTCTATTCTAGTTCCCTGCCCTGTATCGAAAAAAGTTACCATTCCCTGGAAAGTGTCACAATTCGGATGTTTCACTCCGTGGTTTCACTGATTGTGTTATATTTGTCGATAAAATTTTGATTTGTAATTCTTAACCAAAAAAATTATTTTTCGTGTATCGTTTGGAGATGACAGGGTTTTTTTTAATCCAAAGTGCGCACTATAATACAAATAAAATATTCAACCAAAGAATTATTTTTCATTTAAACTTAATATATTTAACCTATTAAGAATATTATATCTTTGAATAAAAAAAATTGATATTTAAATGAAATCGACGCCCCCCCCTCTCATGTTAATTGAAAAGCCAGTGGAATAAAATGCTAATTTAAAAGTGTGTGCTATATGATTTCTTATTGAAAATTGTGTGTAATATGAATCTAATTCAATCGTTTGTGTAATAAAATGCTCTTTGAAGTTTCGTGCTATAAAATGCTAATTAAACCGAAAATTCCATATGTTTATTTAAGTAAATATCTAATTAAATTCTAATTTCACATTTAAACATTATATTGAAAGATTAAGTTTAAATTAAACATAATATGGTTGAACTAAAAATATAGTTTTTTCAGTGTACAAATATAAATTTATTTTAAAAAACGTAAAAAATCAACCGCTATATTGAATTTTAAAAACCTAACCTCAAATTCGTAATCAACGATTAGGGTTGTAAAGTTTCATGAAATTTTCGTTGAATGAAAGTTTCAATGCTTCATGAAACGTTTCAAAGTTTCAAAGAAAGAGGCGGGAATATTTAAATTATATATAATAAATCCTTATTAATAATAATATTAATTAATTTAACGACTGGAAATAATAATGTTTTAAAACGGATTTTTTGGTCATATTTGATTTATTACTATATTAGAATTTTGCCTCCGTTTCGAACTCGAATCTGTTCATTTTAAAAGCTACAAACATTTCATACAAAAATACGACATTAAATAATTTTTCAATCAAAACAGTTTAAATAAATATAATAAATATCTTTCAATAATCATAATACATAAAAATAGCAAACCAACGATTACTCAAAAATTAAAACAGATATTTATTATATTTAAATTGTTTCAATTGAAAAATTATTAAATGTGATATTTTGTTTAAATTTTTAGCCCTGAAGATAAATTGGTTTCAGTTCGAAACATAGGCAAAATTATGATATAATAATAAAATGTAAAACATTTTATTATTATAATTAACTTTTCACAAGTTTATTTTTTGACCTAACCTGAAATATTTATTACG